GTTATTGCTTGGAGGGAGAGTCCCCCTCCCTACAGGAAGCCACGACCACGTGTCACGGCAGGGAAAATGGCCGTGGATCCTGTTCGTCACCCAATGCGGAGTTTGCGAAAGGAAGCAAAATTTTGCAAACGGTGCTGTTCGTGACTCCGAATTGCTCGTGAACAGAAGCGTTCATGACCCGAGGTACTGCTGTACCATAAATCACCATATTGACATTTTTTCATATTAACTGCCATTTGGAGATTAAAAAATACCCTCTTTTTCAAATGTCCTTTAAAACAATGTTGCCTGTGTATATGTGTTTATGAAGGGATCTATGTTTGCATGCTTGTAAATACTCTGTCTGCTGATGACACTACTCTGATAGTTGAACATGCAAATGATCTGTAAGGCCTTGTAATGAAAGTCAAACAACACAGTGAAAAATGGGACTATAATTGAATATAAAGAAGACCAATTGAAAAGATAGCAGGGACTGCAACTATCTTTAGGAATGATTGAAACATTGAAAGGGCGAATACTTTCTGCCTTTTCTCATCAACTATCAAGAAGTACATTGCAGATCAGCACTTGGTAGGGTAGCAGTGAAGGCTATGGAAAAGATATTCCCATACTGTGACATGTCTTCAAAGAATCATGCAGGCAATGGGTTTCTCTTATATTCTAGAGAGGGAAAAGTTGGACTTTGAAGAAGCAGGATAAAAATAGTATTGCCACTTTTGAACTTTGGTGTTGGAGAAGCCTCCTGAGAATACCATGGGCAGTCTAGAAACCAAGTGGATCATCAAATAAATCCATCCAGAGTTCTCACTCAAGGCATAAATAACCTGGCTCAAATTATCCTACTCTGAGCACATTTTGTGAAGACCCAGGTCTCTGGAGAAGAAGGCTCTAATGCTGGAAAAGTTGGAAGGAAATTAAAGAAGAGGACAACCAGCAGCAAGGTGGATAGACTCAGTTACAGTGACAATGGGTACACCATTGGAAGACCTGAAAGACCAGGTTAGGGACAGGCCTTCCTAGAAAAGATCTGTGTCTACTAACAGTCACTACCAACTAGATAGCACATAATCAACCAAAGACTCATCCAACCATCTTTGTGCCAAAATAGTAGTAATGCAGGCTGGCTTTATATCACTTCAACAATGGCAGGCCGATGCTATGAAGAAGCTATAACATCACTAGTGCAGAAATAACCTACAGTGCATTCGGAAAGTATTCAGACTCCCTTTTTTCAATTTTGTTACGTTGCAGCCTGATACTACAATCGTTCAAATTCATTTTTTTTTCTCATTAATCTACACTCAG